GGATCAAACCTGGGTCCTTGTGCTTGCCAGGCAGGTGCTTAGATGGCTGAACTATCTCCCCAGCCCTACATGAAATTTTTGGCAATATGATTTGATGTAGCAATTAAGTTTATTTAAAATTTTGAACTTACCTCCTCCTTGTATCCAACCATTCTGCACTACTCGGTGAAAAATTGACCCTTTGTAATGTAGCCTTATGCCTCTTTTGGAAAACCCTGCTTTTCCCGTACACAAGGTCTGAAAATTTTTACATGTTTTGGGACATATATCACAATACAGCTAAAAAACAGAGATGAAAAGTTTGAAAGATTAAATTTTAACATTTCAATAGGTATAGGTGACTCCTAGCTTATTACAAAAAAAAGACATCAAAATCTGCTTACCTCAAAAATCAGTCTTCCAATGGGAGATAAATCAATACCAATGTCCAAGAACACAAAACCATGCTATTAAAATTTGGGATAAAAAGATAAGGTGGGTCAATATCTCATAAGAAACTTTTCGAAGTGACTAAAAATAGGGCAAATGTTCTGTGTTTGGTGACTAGATCTGAACAGGACAATCAATGAGTAATGTGATAGCAAAATCAAATGAGTAACACGAAAAAGTTTATTTCACCAAATCTTTACAACCTATACTATGTTAAGAATTTGTTTTCATTATACAGTCTTAAAATCCTTGAGTAGCAAAGGTCTGAAGTGTTAATTTCCCACGTAGGAGTGAGAACACATGGCCTAGGTGTCCACTCCCCACAAGCTCCTTGGAGGAGCACTGGTCGTTTCCTCTTGGGGAAATTGACTGAGAATTGTGTACCTCTCTTCTCTTTCTTGAGTGGTTTTGCGAAAGGATTCATTGCATGTGTTGTGGCTGTTTTTTTTTTGTTTTGTTTTGTTTTTTTGGCGGAACTGGGAATTGAACTCAGGCCCTTGCACTTACCAGGCAAGTGCTTATTCTACTGAGCTATTTCCCCAGTCCCCGTGCTGTGGCTTTTGATTACCATGTGTCCTGGATTTTTAGACAGCACAGAGTAGCCAGAGAAGGCCATTTCCTCTCTCAATAGGAAATAAGGCCACAACAGCTATAAGCAGTGCAATGCCAGGATGGTGAAGGATGCTGCGCTTTTAGCACATCTTCACTAATAATAATAACTTCACATGCCCAGATGTGCTCAGCTCTCATGTTCACTTGCTGCCCTTTCTGGGCTGGACTTGGAAAGAGCTCATTTCAGGCTTTCTCTGCATCTAAACCTTAATCTGAGCTTCCATTATCTGAGCTGCCACCGCTCCTGCCCAGGCCCGTGAAGACCCAAGGAGTGATGCAGACAACAAGGAGAATGCAAAGTTAATCTCACACTGGCACAGCGGACCTGGGCTAGCAGTATGTCCTGCCACACATTCCTGTGGCCCCACTCTGGCCGTGTTTTCCCACTGTCTGGCCTCCTTTGGTTCCTGCCTGCTTTCTAAAGCCGGCTTTCCTGTCAGCTGTGAGACAGCCAGTATCATAGAGCTGGCCCCAAGAATCCTGGGCTGATTTCTCATTTTCATCGTCTCATTTCCTAGGAATTCCAGCCTTCTTGCTGACTCCTGGCCTTCCTACAATACACTGTGTGGAGCTGGGTCCAGTCTCTTTGTGACTCAACTATGACTATGAAATACTTCCTCACTCTCTGGAGTTCCTAGCATTTTCAAAATGCACTGTTTATTTAAATAAGCATTCACACAGCACCTACTTTGCTTCATTTCTGTTCCTTGCCTTTGCTCAGATCCCAGCACTGGGGCACTCTACGAACACAGGTCATCATGGGCACAAAGCAACTTCAAGCAGGTGACAGTTGTTACTACAAGGTTTCTGAGCAACATACAAAATCCTTTTTTTCCTATTGCCATACTAACCTGGTGATTGTCTCAGAATCTGGTCTCAGCCTTTCTTTAGGACCTTTTCTAGTTTTCTCCTCACCTCTAGGCCTCATCTTTCCTACCACATTCTGTCACTGAAAATTCTCGTGGCATGTTCTGGCCTGCTCTAGCATCTATGAGAGATGCTTTAAAATGGCCCCTTTCTTCTCACACTTCCCGTCTCTTAGAACATTAGCACTCAGGTATTAGAAAATATTGATTTAGGGAGCTGCTGAGATAGCTCAGTGGACTATGTGCTTGTTTACGCAAGTACAGGGAACGTGGTTCAATCCTGGCACCACATTTCACACTAGCCCCCGCCCCAAGCCAGGCTGAGCTGGCCAGAGTCCAGGTGTGGTGGCACATGCCTGTAATCCCAGCGTTGGGGAGGCTGAAAGCAAGAGGGTCACCATGAGTCTGAGCTGCGTAGTGAGACCCTGAAACAACCAAATACATTTAAAAAAAAAATACTGATTTAGGGGCCTGGAGATGGCTCAGTAGAATGAGCACTTCCCTGGCAAGTGCAAGGGTCTGAGTTCAATCCCTAGTTCTGGGGGAAAAAAAAAATACTGATTTAAAATTTTCATATGACAGATGAATGAACACTGGGTTCAACCTGTTCTGAGGGGATGTCTTTATATAGTTTATAGTTTTTAGCTTAGTTTTTCAGTTGTTTTGTGATGGGATCTCACAATGTTTGCCTAGGTTGGCCTCAGTTGTCCCCAGGTTGGCCTGAGTAGCTGAGGCTATACCAGGGAGTTTTCATTTTTTTGGTTCTTTTGAGACAGGGTCTCACTATGTAGCACAGGCTGGCCTTGAACTCACAGTGATCCTCCCGCCCCAGTCTCCAAGTGCAGGAGTTACAGGAGTGCACTACCACACCCAGCTCGGAGTCCTTTATATTTTAAAATAAATAATTCATGCATACAAATCTCTGAAGGAGAGTAAAAATATTTGAAGTGATGTTCTCCCTGTGAAAAGATACACTTCTTTACATACTACCAACCAAACCCTGCTGTGTTATACTCTGAGGGTTTATAAGCTAATCTACCTTTTGTATCCCGTTTGTTAGGATATAGAAAATGAATCAAAGTTTCCACCATTATTCTTTGAAATCAGTGTAACTTACCTTGGTATCTCTCAAGAATTTAGTGGAATAATCCAAAGTAAGGGCCTCATACAGCGCCTGCGGCTTCACATCTACAATATCCCACACCTTCTGGGCCCATTGCTGCAGATCATGTGCGTCCCCCAGGAGCTGGTCATTGACAAAACACATCACTTTGGAAGAATATTCCCAGATTTCACCCTTGAGCTCCTGTAAAGGAAAGGGAGCCCAAAACAAAGAAAAATAGAAAAAGTTTGCTACGCCCATATATCGAAGCTTGGGATTAACACTAAATCTCAATTTGTCAACTCTAGGATGGAACATTTTTAAAATATGAGTTTTTTTTTATAACATCTTTCAGAATTCAGCTGTCAAAGAGGTTTTAAGACTATTTTAGAGAATTTAACATCACCAAAATCTCAGAATGATCTAAAAAGCAATCATAGGGACCAGGGAGATGGCTCAGTAGAATAAGCGCTTGCCTGACAAGTGCAAAGTTCTGAGTTCAATCCCTGGTTCCGCCAATAAAACAAAATAATAACAATAACAATAAAAAGCAATAATTAAAAAATTAAAATCATAGAAGGTAGATGAAAATCTGATAATAAAAATCATTTTGTACATAGCATAATTGCATTAGCTTTCAAAGAAAACACAGTCCCTGTCCTTCTTTATGAAGCACATTTATTGCATATAAACTTGGAAAGGTCAGTGATTCTGGGTAAGTGATGGTTTTCAAGGCAAAGGACTGAGAGGATTTTTTATTATAATGTGCGTGCTTGTGGAGTCACACTAGGACATCTCCCCCAAGGCCAGCAGGGATTTCCAGAATAGTCAGGAGCAATGCGGAAGGAAACATCTTCAAAACTTTAAGTCCCCTCAAAAACAAAGTTAGTGTTTTCAGCCATGCAATGCGATGGTCAACTTCCTAAATCCCATCTGTGGCCACAGACCAAGGGCCTCTCTGAAGAGACCTGGTTTACTGCTGCTCAGTGCCAGCCCTGGCAAACATGAATACCTGGTGCAGCCTTTCTCAGACAGCAGGTGGTCAGAATCACAGATTCTAGAGCCCACCAGACTTCCTACCAGGGAATGAGGCCTAGGAACTTGCATATCTAACATCATCTCAGGAAAAAGGAATTGCCGCTCACCTGGAGACCATCCTCAGGGAAATGCTAGTGAGGGGTACAGCCTGTCTTCAATTTGCCACTTATTCCATCCCTGGCTCCTCTCAGATTTCATATCCCATCCCTTGCTCCCTGTGCCCTTGCCAAAACCTGCTTCCTGGCAGAGAATAAACTTGTTCATGTGTTTGTGATAAACCACTGACAAGCCAGGCATGGTGACACAGGCCACACACAATCCCAGAACTCAGGAGGCTGAGGTAGGAGGCTGAGGTAGGAGGTAAGAGGCTGTGAGTTCGAGGCCCGCCTGGACTACAGGGAGAATTCAGAGCCAGCATAGACTACAAAGCAAGACCCTGGCCCAACAAAGAAACAATAAACTACTGATAAAGCCTAACATGTCAATATTCCAAGGACAGGTCAAATTTATCAGTGTTACATTTCCCAAGATCCAAAACCCTAAAAGGAAAAAAAATACTATAATTGTGACACTTCAGTCAGCCTGATGTGAGAAAGGGGAAGATGCCTTGTCTCTGTCTCTTCTGTACATAAGGAGATATTCTCTCTTGCTGCAAGAGAGCAGGCTGGACCCAAAGCTTTCTAGGGCCTTCCATCACTAAGACCTGTGAGGCTGTCTCTTTTGGAGGGGATAGAAAGTTCTCCCTAAATAACCTATAGCCCCTCCTTTAGAGTGATGTTACATTCTGCTGGAGCACAAAGCCAGCCAGACCTAATGAATTAACCCCCTGAGACCCAAGACATAAAAGCTCACTCTGAAAAGGACCAAAAACTTGGCCTGAAAAGGAAGAAAAGGTTAAGGTGACACATATCCAGAGGATGAAGCGAGAGATGGAAGAAGGGAAAGATAAAGAATGAAGAATAGGTGGCAAGAAGCAGCAGCGATAATTAGAAGGGCTTACACAGGATCCCTGAAAGGCAGGAGGAAGAGTGCTCAAGACATGGCCAGGTAGCCCAGGCTCACAGGGAGGAAAGCGGAGGGCCAGAGTCTATAGCAGCCTTTCAGAGCACAGCAGGACTATGCACGAGGAGCCATTGCGATCCACAAACGATAAGGTCAGGCTTTTTCTGTAGGCAGAGAGCATGGTTATCATAAGCTGGATGGTAACAATCTTAAAATCTATTGTTTTATGTTAGGGTAACCGATTGGTCCAGTTTGGCTAGGAATGTCTTAGTCTTAGCCATTAGAATAGTGCCTAGCATGAAATAAACATCATATATAAGTGTTTTCTGCTCATTTGACCCAGAACCCAAGCCCGGTGTAAGTGAGACCACCCGGGGCCCACCGGGTCATCATTTAAGCCAGAGCCCAGGCCTGGTGTCTGAGTGGAACTTCTTCCATCACAGGCCCAGTGTGGAACCCTGGGGCAGAACTCCCGACAGAGAGGCTAGAAGCAAGACCCACCCAGCTGATCCAGGAACACAACATTTTGCCAGAGTGGCACAGAGGGTTCACCTCCAAGGGCTGCAGCAGGAAGAAGTGGAGCACAGCAGCCAGACCCAAGCCACACCCACCTGGATGAGTTTGAACTTGG